CTTTCCCGCTTCCCCCCCCAGGCTGCAGCCCGTCTCCACTGCCCCAGGACTCCCCAGCCCCAAGAGCTCGCCCTCCAGCCTTCTCCAGGCTCCAGGCACCTCAGGGCCCAGCTCCCTCGCTGCCCGGCCTTCCCTGTAAACCCAGGAAGCGGGTCTGAGCCCCTCCTCCAGGCCAGCTACCTGCTATGTGTGTTTGTTTTCATAAACAAGACCCCCCAGTTGTTTAGGTCTCAGGCCCCACAAAACCTGGATCCGCCCCTGCGTGACTTCCCAGCCAGAGGCCCATGAGGTCAACTGTGCCGCCCCCTCCACCGCGGGTTTGACAACCTTTCCCGCCAGGCCCTGCTCCGGCAGCCGTGTGGGCAGTCACTTCGCCACCTGGTGGTCAAGTCTTGGAACTGCGTTTCTGGGAAGGCACTGTTCTTGGCATCTTATCCCAGGACCCAGGCTGGCAGCCCCCCAACCCCAGGATCGCCCAGGTCTGGGGGTGTGGAAGCCCAAATCCAGGGCCTGGTTCCGTGCCCCACACTTTGGGTTACCTGTGGTTTGGAATTACCTGTGATGCCCAGCTCACCTGTCATTGAATGTTTACTGCCTCATTGGTCACCTACCTTGTGTAAGGTGCTGTGTTCGGCATGGGGTGAACAGTGATGAGCGAAGCAGACATGACTCTGTCCTCAAGTTGCTCACAGTCCTCCAGGGCGAGACCGACATTGATCAAACAATCACAGAAATAAACGCACAGTTACAAACTGTAATGTGTGTCAGCTGGAGGATTTGACCTAGTCAGGAAAATCTGGGAGAGCTTCCTGGAGGAGGTGACACTTGAGCCGCGTCTGAATGAGTTGCAGTTAACCAGGTGAAAAGAGGAGGAGGGACTAGGAGGGAGTGCAGGGACAGCATGTGCAAAGGCCCTGTGGCTCACTGTGATCAAAATGACACTGGATGTGACCGCTCCAACTGCTGTGTGGAAAGTGGACCAAAGGAAACCAGAGTGGCTGGTAGAACCCAGGCAGGGGTTCGAAACCCACAGAATCGGAACCATCCTAGAAGAGAGATGGGCATGTGAGAGAGATGAGGGCTGGGCCAGGGTGGTGGCAGTAGAGATGGAGATTGGTGGAGGGATTGGAGAAATGGGAGGTAAAATCAATAAGACCTGCTGGGGGGCGGGGAAGAAGGGAGGACAAAGACAGGAGTGATGCAAAGGGGACGCCAGGCTCTGAGACGGGACCTGTGCAGGCTGGGGTGGGTTTGAAGAGGGGACGGTGATGAGGTTGGCACGGAGAGTTGTGAATTGCCTGACAATTGGAAAACAAGTAGAAAACGGGCTGTGGCCACCTCGAGGTTAGAGCTGAGTGGGGTGTGTCTGGACAGAATTCCCAGGGCCTGGCCAGCATGGGGCAGCCCCTCCCACTTACGAAGACAGGGAACTGGCGTCCGTTACTCATTCAAGAAATAGATTCCTGGCGTGGACTCTGGGCTTGTCCCAGGACCTCACTCCTGGGGGCGCTGGGACAGGAATTCAGGCCTCCATAGTGAGTGCGAGAATGTGCCCAACAGGGCGAGGTTCCTGCAGCACCTCCTGCTGAACAGTGAGAACTGCAGCAGTGATATTTCCGGAGGGTTCCTACCTGCCGCCGCTGGCTCCGCAGCAAACAGCTGTTAGCGCATCCGTTTCCCTGTGCGGCCTCGCTTTAGCTGGAGAGGAACCTGAAGGGGAGGAAAGTTTGCACAGAAATTGGGACCACGGTCCCTGGTTCCAGAGCGGGCCCCCGATCGGGCCTGCCCGAGCCCCAGCGCGATTCGCAGGGCGTTCTCTTTATTGACTCATTCTTTTAAAGGTATAAATCAACTCGTAACCGTAAAAGTTCATACTCGGGAAAGCAGATTGCACAGGGACATTAGCGGTGTTAGTGGCAGGCTGTTAAGGACCCATTAGTACCAGAGACTGCCTTCGTGAGAGATTTGACAATGGAACCTCGCTGCGGGGTTATGATTGCTGCACCTGTGGGCCCCCAGGTCCTCTTCCTTCCCTCCCAAGGTCAGCCACGGCCTCTGCGGCGGGCAGTCCGCGCTTTGGGGAGCCCTGCACCTCCCTTGCCCCCCTAGGGCACTAGTGCAAGTGATTCATGGGGGAGAATTTGTGTTCAAATAGGTGGGCAAAGGCTCCCTGCTGTGTCTGGCTTTGGAGGCTCCCAGCCTCTTTGGTTAAAGGCTCTGAGAAGTCCTGCAGTAAAGAGATCCGGCCGGCTTTGCTGAACCCGCATTCCCCCCTCTATTCGATTTGGAAGATTCCCTCCAGATCTGCTTTCTAAATACCAGTCTCTAAAGGCTGCAGCTTCCCACATTTTAAAGAACTTCAGCCCCTCGAGTTTACGTGACCCCTCAGCTCCACGGGGAGCAGATAGGGAGCAGGGCCCTGTCCCCTGCTGCCCAGCAGTTGTGGGCCGTGGGCGAGCCCCCTCATCCTGTCCCTCTGTCCCCCAGAGCCTTCCACGGGGAAGACCTGCCTGCCCAAGGCCCTGCTGAACTTGAGCAACGGCCGAAACGACACCATCCCCCTGCTGCTGGACATCGCTGAGCGCACCGGCAACATGCGCGAGTTCGTCAACTCGCCCTTCCGGGACATCTACTACCGAGGTGGGCCCGGGGGAGGAGGGGGTGGGGTGGCAGTGGGCACCAGCCTCACTTTTCTCACCTCCGAGAGCTTCGGCCTGGGCCCCACGTGCCGGCACATGCCGAGAAACCTACCGATTGTTGAATGAATGAGTGAATGAATGAATGAACTCTGATTTCCCGCGTTTCAGAATCAAGGTTCTGAGGTGCACAGAGCCTAGTGATCCATGAGCTGGGAAATCCGGACCTAAGATGCTATGGCTCCGGACACACTGAGGCTCTAGGGCAGTAGTGCTGTGAGCCAACAGCCCTAAGAGGCAACGGCGTCGAGTCCCAGCTCCCGGGTCTAAATTCTGAGAGTCTGTGGCTCAGACGTGACCTTTCATTCCCGGGTAGGAGGGTTCCAGTTCTGTGGATTGCGGACCCTGAGCCCAGGGCTCTGAGAGACCACGAGATGGTGTTTCCTCCGGGGGAAGGGGGGCGGGGAGGCCACTCCGCTCGTGAGTCTGGAAGTTTCCCGCGTCTGGGATCCTACAAGTCGGATGCTGTTTGAGCCTAAGATCCTGCTTGCACAAGATGCCACATCTGGGCACATCTGTCTGGAGGTCCATTGCTGCCCTTGGGTGCAGCCAGCCGCGGGTCTGGCCTGAGCCCCCCCCCCATTTCCACACTGTGCACCCCACCCCCTCCAAGACAGCTCTGGCCTCTGCTCTGCGGGAGCTGGAGCCGGAGCCGGGTGACCATGCCCGTCCCTCTCCAGGCCAGACCGCCCTGCACATCGCCATCGAGCGCCGCTGCAAGCACTACGTGGAGCTCCTGGTGGCCCAGGGGGCCGACGTCCACGCCCAGGCGCGGGGGCGCTTCTTCCAGCCCAAGGACGAGGGGGGCTACTTC